TAGAATGTCTGGTATTGTAAAGAATTAAAGCAAATAAAATATAATGATGTCGGTTTACTTATTTGAGACGTGTAATTTCCTGAACTTTACTGATTTTATTCTTGTTTCTTATATAAATTAGTGCATTTTCGCGGAAGCTTCAATACAAATTTAAAAGCAATTTAAATTTAAAAAATGGTTAACGAGAACTAGAAATCACATACGTAGCGTCTACTTTATGCAGTAGCATTGAAAGAGACTGGAGTACATACTACAATTGTCAAATTTTGTGAATCATTCTCAATCTTGACGCACTCGTGGTTTTAGTTTTTTTTTTATTACAAATAATCGCAGCCTCTCTTACTAATTATAAAGAAAAATTATAAATATCTGTGGTATTTTTTTATAATATGTAGTAAACATGCTGACGACCGCCCTGATAGAAAATAGCGACTGTCACCTATAGATATGAACAGCGCTATAAAGTATACACTGCATGCCCACGGTATCTCTCTCATGCGTTGCCATTTTTAAGGATTATGGCATTATGTATGTTCCTATATAATACATGTAAATTATTACCCTGTACCCTATAATTTTATATATCAGTATGTTGCGTCATCTGTGTTGAACGTCAGGCTAAAATGAGATAATCCTTTGTCTCTTCCACTTATCTCCTACAACAAGAGCAACTCACTAATTTATTAGTCAACTTATGCAATACGGACGGATGCCTTGCCACCGGAGAGGCGCATTTACATAAAACTTTCACGTTTATAGCTAAGGGTCACGTTTGAATGTCTAAACATTTGTGCTCTTTGAACGAGGCTCCCGAGATCACGCTAAAATAGACAAAATGTTTGAATCTCACGAAAGACGACACTAATTTTTATGATAGCTGAATACGAAATAATATAACGAAGTAGGAGTACAGTATTATAATTTTAAATAGACATTGTTCTACCAGTGGCTTTACCCGGCAATGGACTTCGTTTGGAATAACTGAAAATAAATCTTATTTTACACACCTAGTATTGCAAGTATCCATAGTCTACAGTAGCCGTTTTAATCAGACGGACTATAAGCTTGCCACTTTCGTGGTATAAAGAAAATATTTAGTCAGCATACAAACTTATTTTACTCTGTTACCTTTAGTAATTTATTGGAAGATAATGATCCCGAATGCGCTATCGGTGTACGCTGGCAGGGCACTAGCGAAGGATTATGCGTGAAGATAAGCGCAGGTCAGTTGTAACGAATTCATCATGAATTAACCAATTTTTTTCAGATGAGACTGCGCGGATTGCTAACAATGAGGCTACTAATCCCTGTTACTAACAATCCCTCCTTCCCCATCTATAATAATAGCAGTGTAAATTACATTGCTAGATATTTAGAAGAACAACAGTACCTTGATAATTGCGCCAATTATCAAATCAAGCAAAATATTTTTCTCATAGCAACTCGAATCTTTGTTGTTGATCGCCTTATAAACCTAAAACTTTCTTTCAACAAAATGTTTATTAAATTTACCTAAGTTTTTAAATTACAAATCCCTTTCTATTTAGCTTTATAAAAATTCTCTTACCTAATTAATAAAATTTTATTAGGTTAACGACAATAAAAATATGTGGTTTATTACAAAAAATATAATGTATAATATTAATAAGCCGATAGTCCGGACAAACAAACATAACGAAATAATAAAAGTATAGGTATTTGGCATTAGAACTGTATAAAATATGTAAAATAAGTAGAAGTGACAAAGTCACAATCTGTATATTTTATATTGTCGTCATAAATATCAAATAACATTTCACGGAAGGGCATCCAGTGAAGCGGTAGCTTAATTGGTACTGGCCCCGATATGGCTTAAAAGAAGCGGGTTAAAATAATGCGCACTTCGAGGTTTTTTTAATCTCTTGACAATTATTAGAATATGTAATTCATATTTTAATAATACTTCTATATCAATTTGCTGTCTTGTAATATATTGCAAAATGTATAATCCTTACTAATATTATAAATATGAAAATAAGTTTGTTCGATTGATTGTTACCTTAAGAAATCTGATATACATGTAGTTCATATTCATATATGAGATGAAGAAGGATATAGGTTATTTTTTATCTCAGTTAGTAAACATATCCCGGTAACGCGGATAATGTCGCGAGTAAGAACTTGCATAAATAAAAGCCAATAGCACTTCATTTCCACTATTCAGACTAATCTGACGATTTAGTAAGATACGTCAATCTGGTCAGTACATATTATGGCAAAAAATGTAATAATAATATTTACATACATTTGATAAACATACTCTACTTTCTTTAGTTATTAGGTAAATGAATGTGATAGATGGATTCGCTGAGTGACCGGTTATAAAATGGCCCACCTCTTCCTATCCCGTAAGTGTCGTAAGGGGGCAACTAAGGGAACTTAATAATCCAGAAATGGGCGGCAGCGACCCTGTTTAAACATCACCAAAGCTTGCAGTTTCCAACTCGCCTACCAAGTGCAACAACTATTGACAAAACCCTCTAATTAGGAGTGAGCCTGTATTCAGCAGTAAGCAGTTGACGGCTGATATGATGATGATGATAATGAAATAGATGTGAAATCCCGTCATAAATCTAATGCCTAGCTTCGACAATCTAATATCTCGTATGCTGTAAAGTTTGAAAATATTTTAAAATGCCAACCCCTGCATTCGGAAATCCTAATTGATATACGTTGGGAAATTTACATTCCATCCAGCGCAATCCGGTGGAATTGCATCAAACGTGACATTTGAAAAAATGGTTAAAAAATACGCCTACTGATTCCTACCGTGATATAACTAGGAACACAATTGGCCGGATAGGTATTTGAGAAATATGGGTTCGAATGTCATTGAATTGAACTGTTGGAAAGCAAATTTTTCAAACTATTTGTCTATTAATTCCGTAAAGTTGTGAGCTCTCGTACCAAAAACAGCGTTTCATTTATCCTTGACTGTCCATTATAAATAATTATAACTGGAAAGTTTTCTCCATTCAACTAATCACTCAGTGACTATCAATCTTTATTTATAAACACGTTTTTATAATAATTTCACAAGTTGACACTATCACACAGTAAGAATCTAGATACGAATACATACAAAAACATTTTTATTATTATTGTTTACATTGAATTGTTTATTTCTCAGCTTTTAGCGCTGGTAATTATACTACACTTACGGTTACGTGACCAAGTAAGTGCAGTGTGTATGTTTCTATGGAAGGTTATGTTTGTGTATGACGGGTGGCTACTTCATCCTCATCTATATCTAAGAATTTTCTGACTATTCTGCAAGTATTTAATATAGCAGCCTTTTGTAGGGAGATGTAGAGATTTTTTCGTAAACCTATTTTAGATTATGGTGTTACTATTATTATAAAATATATGAAATTTGTTGTTTTCTCGAAATTATAATAAAATATGATAAATGTGAAATAGGAATGGTATAATTAACTTAAACTGGACATGTACGAATAGGTTGTGATTGCGAATGCGCAATATAAAGAATTTTCAAAATTCATAAATAAGTGAAGCTATAAACTATTGATGCCAAATTATCCAATTTATTGGAAACAGGATATAAAATATCAATGAAGACTTAAATGCAAAATGTCAATAATGTTGTCAGTCTATATTGAGACGAGCCTATATCTAATAAAAAAAAAATGCTATTACCATATTTGTTCTATTTCAGTAGAGATTCAGTGATATTGAACTATATATATTCACTACTTATATATCTAAAATAATAAGAGTTGTAGGTACAGTAGGTACCTCTATCCTATCCCTGTATAAAATATTGTATAAAAGTTATAAATATTTAATAGAATAAAGTATTTTTATACAGTACCATCCTACTCATGTCTATTGTGTAAACATAGAAAAATGGGAGGATGTTCTTCAGAACTGCTATATGTAGTTACTACTAAATGTCCATTAATATATAGGACACAATCATCGCAGTTCACGCAGGTAAAACTGAGGGTTGCAGTGGCATGAATTAATATTGTATGATATGCTAGCATTTTCCACACAAAGACAATTGTGTACAACCCTTAAAACCCTTTCTGTTACCTTTCTAGACAGAAATTGTGGATGTTTTGTTGATAGATAAGCCCAAGCCAAGTGGTCTCGCAGAGTAATTCAACGGCTTTGCGCACTACGTAGCTACCGGGCCTGATAAACCTTTGTTGTCTTATCTCGCTTCGCCAGTGCCCGTCGCTTAAATTTAAAATGTTATATTCGCCATTTAAAAATGTTCTATTGTATGAAGCAACTGACAATAGATTTAAAAGCTTTCAAGACTTTGGCACTGTTACGGTCTTATTTCGTTTACAACTTTTAACTTAGTTATGTAGTTTTTGGACAAGCTTTTTATATTAGAAAATCAATACAAAAATTTATTTTACTAAAAGAAAACCTTCAAAGTCATTTTTCTTTTTTATAAAAATTTTACAAAACTCTTTTAAGTAGATATCTATATTACATATAAAACAGGGTATATAAGATTTTCAAGTTTCTAGGTTTAGTAGTCTGGGCTGTGCTTTATATCAAGAAATAACAAACAGGTAATATAACCTAAAATAAATATATAGTATAAGATATTAAAAGGACTAACTGTTTAGATTTCTCTTCCTGTAATATTTTTATGTGGCTGTGTCGAATATTACATTTCAATATTTTAATACATTCCATTAATATTTCTTTAATATCAAATACCTAATTAAATTTGCTTGCATCATAAAAAGAAACATTGACATTTTACTTTTTTACTGCAGCCGTTTAAATAGTGAACAAATAGTTCTCTCAACCACTAAACCAGTCAATCAAGTCTAGTCATTATACATAATACAACCAGATATAATGTATGATTATTATTTCTATTGTTAATTTAAAATTTTATAGTATTAGTCAAACAAGAATCGTCACAAAGGCCTTCATGAAGAACAAGTTTCTCAGGACTTGTACTTGTTTGTATTGTAATCAAATTGTCCTCAGATGCGTCTTGATCATCGTTTTATCACATCGCGTTCTTTGTGTACTATAAGAGAAACAATGAAGTTAATAATACCAATCGTAACTGTGATTTTTTTTAACTTAGTAAGTGCCGGTCGTATACGAGGTTACGATTACAAATTTGAAGATGCGGATAAAACTCCTGCAGTTCAATATAATTTAGATGATGCTCCAAAATTATTTCAAGAGTTCATACAAACATATGGAAGGAAATATAATACTCAAGAAGAATACACGAACCGCTATAAAAACTTTTATAATAATTTGATTGAAATCAACAAACTGAACTCGCAAAAGTCATCTGCTACTTTCGGTATCAACATGTTTGCAGATCTAGCAGTTGGTGAAGATCCAACAGTGGCGTTTAGTTTGAGCGACAGGTGAGCATATTATATTTCATTTCTATTGTAGTTTTTACTACTTTAATAACGTGCCTATGATAAAAAGTAAGCTATATCTTTCTTTATCCCTAATATATATACTACATTTTGTAACGATTTGTTGAGTAGTTAGGACGCCAAAAGGTAATAAACAAACGATAAAAAGAATAAAATAACATTTCGTCAGTGAAATTTTAACAGAGTGTAAGTTGTGGCAACAAAAAGAACTAAATAAAACGTCTATTTCTATTTTATTAGTTTTTTTACAGTATAGGGCAAATATTTAAAGTCCAAATTTCTGATTAGTTCAGGCGACCTGCACTTCTCTTAACAATTGAATCGAATTAAAATATGAAAATGCAAAAAAAATACTTATGTAGTGTTAAAACTTCACTGACGTTTTATAATAGACAAGTACTTTAAACTGTGATATTTGTAAGGTTAACTAGTTGAATCCTTCTACTAAAATATAATAAAAAGAATCCTATTTTAACACCTGTAATTATAAGTAATACATTTCAATTTATTAAAATTGTTGACTATCATTAAATTAAAGGGCGCTATTTATAATGCATCTTGTGACATCTTTGTAACAATGTTTACTTTTCTTTTAAGGGACGGCAACTTGTAAGCAGAAAAAGTAATAGATCATATTTCTGAAAGCGAAAAGTTAAATTTTTTTAATAATACTTTGAGTCACTCATCAAACGAGATTAAGTAAATCCCAACCTCGGCTACAACCAAAAATGCCCTCTATCCAATAAAATTAGTCGGTACACCAGATTTAATATAGATATTTTTTTTATATATTAAGCTAAGTAACCTCATTTTAGAAAGTGCTCGCGATATTGAATTTAAGATTAAAAATCTATACTTATCTAAGGCAAAATTAACTAAAATCAAAGAATTTATTATGGATTCCATCGCATCCTGTGGCTGTATTCTCTTTTTAAGTGATTTCTAAAGGAATTAAGACTCAATTGTCCCTTTTTTCTCTTCTTGCGACTATGTTACACGATTACGCTGTCAATTCTGAACCGAATTTCACAATTATATTTCCAATTTGTGAGGTTTACTCCCAAAAGTGTGACAACCATTTTCATTTTATGTCGATTAACGCTATCGTTTTTCTTTGTAGAGTATTAAATTTCTTATTACGAAGCAAACTCTATATGGAAACATACAATATCTATTTATTAATAATAATATAGACATTTCGTCATTTATGGATGCACGTTTTTTTTTTCGGAGAAACGTGTACTTATTTGTCTTATTTGTTTATTTTATTAATTTTTTATTCTTTATTGCACACAAAAAATTTGTTCACATAGCGATCTTAATGCCATATAGCAGTATTTACTAGCTAACTATTGTGTAAAAACAACAGGATGTTGGTAGTGAAAAAGTATAAGTTATTGAAGGACTAACTTAAAAAAAAAGAATAATTTGAAATTCCACTGTTTTTTATTCACCAATTCTGTGCTAATTTCGAACATTGTTTTTCTAATCAACAGAGATTATTCCCGTGTCTATTTTTTATGAAACAAAATCCTTTATTTATTATGAATAAGCTTCAATCAATGATAAATCAGTAGTATAGATTGTTTTTATTAAAAAATGATGTAATGATAGTGTGCCTTGATTAGAAACAAGCTCCTATATATAAAACAAGTTTACCAAGGAGTTTAAAAATAGTGCGTTGCAATCAAATCATCAACAGTCGCGTCTAAGGCTTCATTTATTCACATTCTTACTCTTTCTATGTTGTGCACATTAATTATAGAAACAATGAAATTAATATTCATAACGACAGCGATTTTGTTGGTGACAGTAAACGCAGCCAAGAAAGGCTACGATTACGAGTTTGAAGACTCAGACGAGACTACCGCAATACAATACAAATTAATAGACGCGCCAAAATTATTCCTAGAGTTCATACAATCATACGGAAGAGAGTACAAAACTGAGCAAGAATACCTCAAGCGTTATCGTAACTTTGTAACGAATTTAATTGAAATCAACAAATTAAACTCACAAGGGACATCAGCTAAATTCGGTATCAACAGGTTTGCTGATTTGGACAAGGACGAAGATATATCGGTGGCATTTACGTGAAGTACTCGGTGAGACAAATTATAAGTATCTATTTATATTTATTATATATATAAATTTTCCGTATTAATAAATAGATCAATAACCTAGATGCTGTGGTTAAGTTATTGCATAACCATTAAAATTAAATTTATTTATTCTAGTCTATTATTATAATAGTAGGTACTTATCCTTATAAAAGTTACGAGTTCTATTTCTGCACAATATAAACGTTAGTAGTCTGAGTACTCATTAGTGTTTGTTACAACGTACCTATTTATATTAAAAAAATATTAAATTATGTCCAGTTTAAGTACTAACTTGATACATGCTTAGTTTGAGACTATATGCCGCTACGTGGCATGTTCAGGGTTCTTTATTTGCTTATACCCATGATTAATATTTTAACCATCTTATTAATAATAACTAAAACCATCTACAGACCTTTCTTAACTAGTACAGTTTTGTTTTTTATCTTGAAATTGAAAATTTAACGCAAAACGAAAACTGTTATAAGTTTTCGTTCAACAGCTAAAGTAGGGGGGAAAGGGATTGTTAGTAATGGGGTCAAATAGCCCCATTACTAGCAATATATCCTGTCAGGTCGACCTCCACGTGGTTCCCCCTGGAAACCATCGTAAACAATTCTTGTTCACGATGGTGAAAAAAAAAAACAGCTAAAGTAAATTCATTGGTTTGGTAAACGTTTAATGTTAATTAAATATTTTATACGATTATTTGTTAAAGCAATCTAAATAAGTCAAAATCTTATTTATAATTCGTAATCTTCAAAAAGCTATTTTTTGATTATTTTAATATTTATAAATTTCTCATATAAATTAATTGATATCTCTTATAGGAGATATAAATCTATGCTGCAACAGCTTTTACAATATTCAATTAGTTTAAAAATGTACAAAAAAATATTGATTTTATGATAAATTACTTTTGTTTATGTTATTAAGTCTATAAACTTATGTTTTTTTTTCTTTTAATACAATTTATGTAAAGACAACTAGCAAAATTCAGTTTTTTAGTCCCATAGTAACTACGAATATTTACAAATTTAATTAATTTTAGTTTAAATTGAATAATTTACGTAAGCATATATTACATCTAAGTACATAAAAAGTTAACATTTTTTATGTACACAAGGCTTATATATAAATAAATCGCTACTTCGACCTCTCCTATATCGTGGAATGTCTATGACGGCATAAAGGAAGCTATTGTAGGGTCGTTTGTGAACCAGAACACAACTTCCCTCCATCGTTACAACCCGAATGAAAACTGAAAACAAACAAAGAACAGAAGCAATAAATGAAATAAATATTCATTTCTCTGTCGATTGGCGGTTCGGACTTGATTTGAAGAGGAATGAAACAGTTTTATAGGCATGTACCTACCCCAGTTATGGTGATTAGTATGCAAATACGAATCTGCTTTTTGATTAATGGGTCCTTTGGTGAATAATCTTTTTTTATTGCTATTCCCTATCTATAATATAATAAAACTGTAACTAGACCATGTCTATGGACGCATCACACAAAAATTATTGGACCGATTTAGATGTAATCCGATGGGGAGATAACGTAATAGCTGAGTTAATATCGCATTCTCATGGAAAAATACGAAAATTCTTCTTGCGTATGACATTGATAGCACAGCTAGTTTTTTCAAATCATTTATTATTTAATAACATCTTATACATGTTAATTTTTAACGACTTGCTTTTTATAATTAAATATTAATCTATAAATAAAATTATCTCCGAACACAACACGGCTATTTTTCGGTTGCATGCATGAGCATTGCATGGCTGTGTTTCAGTTTGAAGGGTTGGATATGGCGTGAATTTACAAGGTACAGAGGATTAACACCTAAATCCTCTGGAATGGCAACGCATGGGGGGTATCATGGGCGAAACAGTATACTCTATGATGTCTATGGTACTGCTTATGTCTATAGGCGACGGTTACCACTTTCCATCAGGTGGGCCGTCAGCTTGTTTGCCATTCTAAGTTGTATAAAAAAATCCAGTGCAAAAAATGGAAAGAAATATAGGTCTGTATTACCTGCCTATCGTTACTGTGATGATAGTGTAAACTCACTTCAGTTATTTCTCCTTATGGGAGCGGGGCCTATGACCAATAATGGGACGTTATCAAGTTATGATGATAATTATGGTAGATATATAAACTATCAAATTTAACATACTTATGTGTGATAATTAAAAGAAAATGAAATTATTAATACACTCGTACGAAATTAATGTAATAACAAACGTAAGTACATTAACTGTATGTCTACTTACAACTCATTTAAAATTATTATAAACAGGAAAGATAAAACTGTTATTATTGGATTATTATAAAATATTAAATAACACCGAATTTTTTTTTAACATCTTTAATTAATTTATAAAATATTCCTACATAATAATATTATATAAGTATCTGCATACGTATGTTACGTTTTTTCATAATATTATTATTTTGCAATTATTATTGTAAGTCTACTTATTTGTAAAAAGATATACTACCATTATAATATCCACAAGGAATATTAATATTTTTAATAAACAACTCATCTTCATTACTTACCTCTATAATATGTATTTGTAAAAAGACTTAATCATTTCATCAATTCAACCTTTCAAATCGATAATTGAACCACTTCTATTTTATTTAATAAGTAAATGTTATTAATAACATAAGTTTTTTTTTTTATATAGAACAGATTAACCTATTTGTACTATTTGTAACCTCGCATCTGCTATCAGTATACATAGGAGGGGTAAGGGATGATGTGTGAGAAATATATACTTTACTGAGTATATAGCTAGTAATGGGTCCGTTAGATCGCGTTACTTGTAAGAACTGTTGTTCTTTCCTTTTTTACTGGAAAGTTATTGCACTTATATTTTTGTTGTGTAGCTGACACAATATTTTCGTTAATTGTGACGCACATATGTGTGTATATATATATATATATATATATATATATATATATATATATATATATATACATGCGGATCAATGTTTCTGCATATGATTTTTTAATGGAATACAATACTGTCTTTCGTGTGTTTCCACAAGGTTTTATCAAGTAACCATTACTAGTAAAAAGAGACGCTCTTCCCTGCTTAAATAATTACCAAATCAGGAAACTGTGGTACTACAAAAGTATTTTATTACTAGGTTAATTAATAGAATTTCAATGTAATTCTTTTTTTATCCGTGAAACATATCGAAAGTATTTGAATTTTGAAGTAATATACAATACCTCCAACATATCGGAACTGGTTTTTCATCCGTTTCGATAAAGTTGTTTAATAGTCTATTAGCCCAGAATGTACCTACTTAATATGCATTTTTCTGCAGTAGAGATATACCTACCATAGTATATACATATACGCTTTTAATTGTTTATATTTATTTTCTATGTTATATACTTATTGCTTTTCATAGTCGCGATGTGATTTTTTTTCTTGTATAATTTTTCTATCTTTTTGTATCAGGGATTTTTATTCTAAAAATTAACATGAAAGTCCCGTTGTTACTTCCTATTGATATTATAAATGTTAATGCTATGAAAATATTTAAGTATTTATAACTTGTAAAGATATTTAGATGTTTCTCACTCTGTTATACTTTGTTTTTATTGTTAGGAAACAAACAATCTCTCGTTCCACGTGATAGAAAGTGGTTACCGTTGCATCACTGAGAGTGTTGAACACGAGGACATTTGTTAGTTCGTTGCAGGCTTCTAAAGATTTATAGACAGTTCAACAGGTTGAGTTTAAAAAAATGCTACAAAAATAAAGCATTACTTTTATCCTAATTCACGCGGGCAAAGCAGTGGGATACAACTAGTATTCACACGTTGCCATCACTTAGAATCTGTGTTAACAGGATTCAAAATGTCTTAACATTTAATTCCATTTGCTAATCCCAGAATATTCGGTGTGGAAACGAAAGGGAAATGAACGGCCGTTAACTGGAACACATTAATAATCTCGGTTAAAGAATTTTGCATAGGGACGTTTTCGCCTTGTCGGGGAAGGGTCGACACAGGCGGGCATAATGAATTAAATTAGGTCCCACTGATAACCTCTCGGCACAATCTCGGGCTAGTGCTAGGGACAGGTTAGAGATGTAGAACTGTCTAGATAAGATATGTTATAATCGTAATAGGGTTGAGCTCGCCTTTTGTTAATCTATTCTCATTGTTAACAATTTTATAATGTCCTTTTTGTGTATGATAAAATATAAAATCTGCTATATTTCATAAATAGAATACATGGCTAGGAATAAGGATTGACAGTGTACCAAGGCTATATAGGAGTAGTGGTCAAGAGCGGAGAATAGAACAGTCGATATTCTACCAAACTAACGTACAGATGACGCAGTACGAATACCGACAAAGCAGTGGCTTATCCACTGGTTAGCATAGGACCGTGATAAAGTGACACAATTAAATAGGACCCAACAGTAATTTATTATGGGTTACTCACTGCGAAAAACATGACTTTTCAACCAACTTCAAAAGGGAGGAAAGGGATTGTTAGTAATGGAGACTGAGTATCCCATTGCTAGCAATATACCCAACCAGGTCGACCTCCTCGCGGTTCCCCCTGGAAACTATCATGGTTAATTCCTAATGAATTCATCATGATGGGCTAACTGGCCTGTTGTCATTCTCATCTATCACCCTTCACTGGTGCTCCGCCAGCGTATCCCGTTAGCGCAGGTGGGGTTACCATACCATTTTCACCCATAAAAAAAACCAACTTCAAAAAAAGGAGCTCCTCAATTCGGTTGTCTTTTTTTGTTTATTACCTAATAACTCAGTCGCTGGTAAACCGATTTGAAAAAGATTTTTTTCCAAATCGTTGAGAACCCATAGAAATTATATTAAAATCGGTTCAGTAGTTTAGTTTTCAAATCAAAATATTTGTTTTAAAAACTAAACCACCACACTGCCACAAGTGAAGTCTGGGTTTTTTTTTTTATGGAACACAATTTAATTATAACGTGTAAATTGTCCTTAAACAGTTTAGCACCATATACAAATGAAATTTATAATAAAGGTATTAAACAACCACAACGGATATTTTATGGTTGTTTAATACCTAATTATACTTAACCAAAAAAATTTAAACAATAATAAGAAAAAAAATTAAAATCATTCTAATATTAAAATATCTTATTTAAATTAATAAATTACTTAATTTCTTGACTACATTGACTCCTGTTATTTAAATTGTCACCGAAGGCAGTTAAATAAACTTGAGCGTCTTTGGAATTTATGCAAACGATTCATATTTGGGCTACGCAAATATGACCATGTATCCCAATATCGTACACGGCTCAAGTGGCTCTCAATCTGTCATCGTCGTAACTGGCACATACTTTCCCTTATGAAATTCTTTTCTCAATTCATTTCTTTTTAATCCAGCTACACCCCATTATTTAAAAGAACTTTATGTCAAGAGATTGATTTTTTTTTAATATTTGGCAAGTGAAATTCTTATTTTTTATGTACTACTGACAACCTCCGTCATTAGATTCCTACATCATTTTTATCATTTTTCCTTTATCTACTCCAAATCATTTTCAGTGCAAGCAATTCGTTTATAAAACTCACTCCCTACCTTTGTACGGTGCACTCAACCTATGCCTATTTTTAAAAACTTAGTTAAATCCCACTACCTAAGCTTATAATCAATTTTACATGTCTTTTTAACACGCCATCCACCCATTCAATTTTTAATTCCTTCTACGCAATGGTTGTCTGGAACAGATTGCTTAGCAATAAGACCATCTTTTGTACTAAACTATGCTTATTGAAAATCCTTTAATAATTCCTGTAATACTGATGCAATGAAGTGTTAAATAAATAAATAATAAGTAAATTTAACATTGCTGTTAATACAACATGATGTAACTAAGAATATAAATGTGTTATTATAATAAATATACTTGTATAGTTATAGATCTAAATGTATTTTTTTTATATCAACTACAGCATATAGCAAATATAGATAAAATTATACCTATGCAGATAAATACTTTGACAAGAAATACCGTCGCATAGACTCCTGAAATTAATTTAAAATAACTTATTTTTAATAATAATAAAAATAATTATTACTGGAACATGGAACAAAATACTATTTTGAATGGTTACCAGTTACAAATTTTTTTTTCTTTACATCAAAGTTCGTCGTCGAAATTAATATGAATCTCAAGGAAGTTAAAACTATTTAATATAGAAGACCTTCTTTTCGAAGTAGGGTTCTCATTATAAAAATACTAGCTTTTAACCACGACTTCGTATGCGAGACTAGGACATATTCATCCACCAAGATAAAAAGTAACCTGTAAGTGTCCTTTTCCATCCCACATAGTATACATATACTAAATGTCATAGTAACTGGTTAAGTCATTAAAGCTCTATGAGGTAACAAATAAACTCACTTTCACATTTATAATATTAGTAAGAATACCTTATAATGTAAACTCTAAAAGGGTACTTCTAGTATCACCTAAATTATATTCATGTGAGGGGACAAGACCTTGCTAATGTCAAGTGGTCCGAAGCCCAAGAATTATGTGCATAACGCCTGCTCTGTGATTTATCTCGTTTGAGATTCGCCCCACATACATATGTATCGCCACATACATTTTAACGCACGTTTTTGACCGCTATTGAAGGGACACGTGTGGGGCTCCTCCTTTTTAGATATTTATGTGAGATTTTCTGCTTTCAGGACGAATTAATCCAGCGTCGAGTTTGCCGTAATTTTTAAGAAAGGAAAATTATAAAGGACATTTTTTCTGAAATGAATTAGTACCAGACATATGATACTGAATAATAACAATCCGAATTAAATTTTAATGAAAAATAAAATTTGTTGATTATTCACCTACTTACTTTATTTCCTTGGTTTATTATTTAATGACAAAAATATAAGTTTCATTTAATTAAACCTCAAAATTGATTACACAGATTAGAAACCAGACTTGGTAATGAAATATTACTTACAAAGAGTCCGATCGAGAATACAGACTTCGACTCCCTACTCACAAAGCTTTGATTAAGAGGCTTTTGATATATTTATCGTTAAAACAGCAACAAAGAAAACACTATCAGATCGTATCATAGAAACTGTCTTGAACTTAAGCTGCCACTTACAGGTGAGCTTTCCGAAACAAGCCCACTAGCAAAAACATTCCAATATTATCCAAAGTTAATATTTATTGGGTACGACGATCTAACAACCCACTTAATAAATAATAACAGCATTACATAGAAATAAACATTAAAGATTATGTCCCACAAAAATAACCGACTTCGAATGCGATAAAACCAGTTATTAAAATTTAAAAACTAAACTACTGAACCGATTTCGATAAAATATCTATGGAGCCAATTTGTAAATATATCCTTTAAGAAGAAAAAAAATGAATTTTCCAAATCTAGAACTGATGGAGTTACGAGGTAACAAAAAAATTATACAGCCGAATTAAGAACCTCCTTCTTTTTGAAGTCGGTTGAAATCCACTATTTTTCTCCTCTCTATATTGTCCTTCTTATACAATTTTCCTTTACATAGATTAACAAATGTAATGTAAATTTAAGTAAGTACCTACATTAAGAGTTACCAATTACTGAGAAACAAAGATGTAAAAATTCCATATGCGAATGTAGCAAAAATATGTTGTGTCACCACTCCTTCCCCAGGATATTATAAGAATAAAAAAATAAAAATACAAATGCACCAGTAAAAAAAATTAAAACTCAAGATAAAACATTTTGTATTACCACATAGCAAAAATGGTGTACAGAAAACTATTATAAACAGCAACCTATTCCTATCGAGACAATCCTATGCCCAATAGTGGGATAATACCGAGTTGTATGGTATCATCATTATATCTACCGTTAACTGAACACAAATCTTCGCCAAAAAGGGAATTATGCTAGTAGTCGCCACGTTTAGCAGGCGAGTTGGCAACCACAGTAAGGCTTTGATGGCATTTTGAGAGAGACGCTCCTGCCAATCACTCGACCATTAAATCCCCTTAATTACCTCTTACAACACCTATGGGAAAGGAAGGGATGGGCCATTTTATGCCGGAACCACACGGCAATAGTTTTGTATAAAATATTATAACTCATATCACAGATTATAATAAAATAAAGGTAATGAGTACCTAGCTAATATTTTGTATGACCATTTATTATCCTACCAGTATGAAATAATCCCATAACAAATAAAAAATAACCCTTAAAAGTTACATATAAAGGTCATGTTCACCTTTCATTCCTCACTGGTGCCCCGCCAGTGTTTTGCGATAGCGCAAGCGGGATTACCATTCGATTATTCCCCATTTAAAAAACCTGGATGGAACAAGGGGGAAGGAATTGTTTGTAATGCGAACTACCAGTTCTATTGCTAGCAGTGTACTCTGTTAGGTGGACCTTCCCGTAGTCCCCCTGAAAATCATCATGCTGATTTCATGGTGTACTCATCACGTTGATCTAACTGATCTGCTTTTTCGTTCTCATCTATTATCTCTTACTGATGCCCCACCAGTATATACCGTCAGCACAGTGCGTGGTTATCATTCCATTATCATCAATTAAAAAACCTGAATGGAGACAAGAAATTATTAGTAACAGAAAATTACGGCACCATTGCTAACAATATACCCTTTCACAGCGACTTCCATGTAGTTTCCTCTGGAAACGGTGTTATCTGTGAATAGAAAATACGAAGCTTCCATTACTTTTGTTGATTCTTTATTAAAATTTTAATACATAAGATGCGTATTTAAAAAGAATACTTACCCAATATTTTATTATAACTTAGACCGTATAACGTTATTATTTTTATCTCACTCCGCTCAACCTGAATCGATTTAACGACTTTGACTCGATTCTCCTTGAACAATTCGATGAAATGAATGACACAATCAGTCAGTTAGTTGTCAGTTGGGTTATCAAATTGTCAGTTGTCATTATCACTTAATAGGAGTTGAATGTGGATTGTCGGCAGAGAGTTTTTAATGCTTTTTATTCGTTATTTCTTGTATTAAAAGTAATAAAAATATAAGTGATAATGGACTCTTGAATTAAGTTTTGATCAAAACAAGTCTTGATATAAATATTAACTGCGTATGAACTAAGGTAAGCTTTATAAATATTTGTTATCCATCTAAAACAGATTTTGTAAACGTTGCGCTATATTACGTGACTACCAAACATTCTAGCAATAAATTCATCGGATATAAATTAATTTACTATTAATAATGATTTGCTTAAATGTAAATATTTCATTTAACATGACACACACCAATATTTTAACTGAAATTTAATAAGTCCTATTTAATAATACTAATACATACTACAAAATTCAGTATTTAATATTACTTTTAATTACAATAAAAAAACATACTCTAATCTGCATGTATAAAGAAAAACAATGCTAAAAAAATATATAGCTAAGTTTTTTATTCTTTCTAAGTCTTTAATATACAATAAATTATACATTACTTACTATTTACTGTGAGGAATTTAGCTAATCCTTTCTTAATGAATACTTATAAACATCATAAAAGGAACCTATATTTAATATTTCAAGATTCTAATGTGTTGATCTAATTCAATATGCTGATAAACTTATACATATTTATACTCATAAATATATATTTTTTTAATTCCATGAATAACTTTAATTCATTTGAACAAATCAAAATAAATAACAAAATTTTACATAGTATGTATGTGTATAATGTATAATATATGTATATTTAATTATTCAGGATAATGGAATATCCTATTACTATTATAAACTTGACAATTAATAAAAATGTATGTGTGAATAAATACTTTTGAATGCATGTAAAACTACTTAATGGATTTAAATTAAATTTGGTACATAGATAGAGTATATCCTTAATTACATACTTATCAAAATACAATGCATTATACACTGATTCATGCACACAAAACTGGGATACCTAACACAGCAGCTTCTATTCGCTCCGTTCAATACAGTCTTCAACTAGTAGAAAATGTAATCAGATTGTAAATTATTCTCCTACTGTGCAAATGAATAATAAAAATGTTTCTTTGACTATTTAAAAAGTTAAATTACTTTTTCTGTATCTAGGTAGTTAAAAAAAAATTAAATATTGATTGCTAGTTATATCTTGCAGTATTATTTGTGTAAATTAGGATATGTTTCAAAGACATTTTTGTAATTTGCAGGCATAAAATAGTTTCTTATTTATAATAAACTATATTATGTCAATTAAGTAAATTAGGTAAGTATACTCTTATTATGTAAAAGTAATAAGTTAGTATATTAGTCAGGTAAGTACACATATGAATGCCTGCAATACCAGAGGCTGCGTTCATAGGCTACGGTAACCACTTGCCATCAGATGGGCCATATGCTTGTTTGCCACCTCAGTGGTATAAAAAAAAAGTAATTATTACCCACTGTGAAAAAGAAGGAACTTCTGCATTCAAAGGTGTTTTTTTTTTTATGTTTGTTACATCATAACCCTGCCATTTATAAATCAACTTTGAAAATTATAATTATAAGGATATATTTCCAAATTTATACTATGAAAACTTTGTCAAAATTGGTTTAATAGTTTAATTATTAAATAAAATTAACTGGTTTTGCCAGGACTAAAGTTTCTTTTTTTTTTTTGTGGAACACAGATTATTTTATTTGCAAGCTTTTAAAATTTTTCACACATGGTCTATGTACATAATCATTTTGAAGATTTCAATGATAGTGTAAATAGTTGTTGATTCGATATCAATTTGATGTTTTGATTAAATAGTGATGTGTACATGATTTAACCTATGCCTTCTTTTTATTGCGGAAAAGGGAATACAGTAAAAGCTAGTGTCACCCTGACTTCAGAACCCAAACAAAAGGCCATAGCCTGTAAAACATCAAAATTTGTGAGTGGGATTGACCATTAACCACTTTTGCCTGAAGTGACAAAATTTGTAGATTGAACACTGTCTGGCTCAATTTGAACTGTAGCAATATCCTACCAAATCTTTAATCTTTAAGTAATGTCACAGACATTACTTAAAGACCAGAGGGAGACTTTGTACAAAAGTCGATTGCTTGGGTACCTCTGTCCCATTCGTGTTTCAACCGTGAAGCAGTTATGTTTGCATGGCTGTGTTTCGGTTTGAAGGATGGGATATGGCGTGAATTTACTGGATACAGAGGAATAACACCTGAGTCCTCAGGAATGGCAACGCATGAGAGGTATCATGGGCGAAACAGTATACTCTGTTATGTCTATAGTACCGCTCATGTCTATAGGCGACGGTTACCACTTTCCATCAGGTGGGCCGTCAGCTTGTTTGCCATTCTAAGTTGTATAAAAAAAAAGATATACACGTGTGTAACTTACGACTTTAATATTTTAATTATAATACTGGTTTTTTGGCTGTTAATACATACCCGCGGATTTAAAAAATGTGAAATCAATTGAATTATCTACTTCTAAATGACGTATCAAGATCAGACATACACTAGTTTGAAAGTTAGACCTTCAGGTACACGATCGCATCCAATTTGGTGCAGTATTTTTTGTGCGACGCCGGGACAAACATACAGACCAACAAAATTTCTAAAAAAAATTTTTTTTTAATTAATATGAGGGGTCTTAACAAGATCAAGAAAAGAATCTTGTTATATTCATCGGTCATATTCATTTTTTAATGTCTCTCATGTACAAACATCGTCTAGTTACAATTTTATTTTATATGTAAAATTATTTTATCTGTATAGAATCATGAAATTAATGCTGATCTAACCTTTACTGTGTTTAAAAGAATTACCAAATAACTAATTTTCAATCGGCGTGTATGTCATGTGCCGTACACACAAAAAGGTACAGTCCAATTGAAAAACTCTGTTTTAATGTCATTTGCTCATTTAGAAGCCCGGTATGCTCTGATTACTGCGACTAGGTATAATTTCACTTGATTGGCGTCAATTGAAATTACATATTAGTCGTGATGCAACGATACACAACCGTACATTATAACCGAATGAGTAGTAGTGAATATATCAAGGCTAGGCATACGCCGGCAATTAGTAGTTGGGCCGACATATCGTGCACGCTAACGTATATTTCGTATGTAAACTGTTTTGTTTCTCGTATTTATTTCCAATTCAATAAGTCTAAAGTTTAGTACAATTGGAGTATATCTGTTTTAATTTTGCGGTGAGTTATTTTTGGATTGTGTTAAAAAGTTGTTCAACTTGAAGACTTGCACGTGATCTGGTTTAAATTTTATTTTATATTCGTAATTCAATTTCGATCGATTGTATTGTGATCATTTACAGACTGATAACATTCCAATTTTTGATTGATAGCTTTAGTTTTTAAATATTATTATTTTGGTTTTATTTGATACTAGCTTTCACCCGAGATATGTTCACTGTTATCACAGGGTAAAAAGAAGCCTATCTCCTTCTTTATCCCGTATAGTAACTATACCAAACATTATAGTGATTGGTTAAACCACGAAGTAACAAATAAACTCACTTTCACATTTATAAGTAAAGATTATAATTTTCCCCGAATGAATTGGAATAAAAATTATTAGATTTAATCTAGCAACGCCTGCGTTGTCTGTTTATTTTCACAAATATTTGTCAATATATCTGAACGATTACTTAAATAGTGTTACTTTAACAATACATACAGCACATAAGAGCATTTTTTTATACCATGAGGTGGCAATCAAGCTTACGGTCTACCTAATGATAAACAATTACATACATACATACATATCTGTCACGCCTGTCTCCCATTAGGGTAGGCAGAAACAATGGAACGCCAAATGCTTCGATTCAAACAAACCTCTTTCGCTTCTTCCACATTCATCAATCTTGTCATACACGCTCGTCGGTTACGGGTACTTTTAATTTGGCCCTTCTTCAGCACGTCGCCTATTTGGTCGACAATAAACAATTACTGTAACCTATTAATGTCTGCAATACTAATGGCATTTCGAGCGCGTTACCGACCTTGAAGAGACCTTTTTAGCCCTTTTTTTAAGTACCCCGTGCTGTAGTCGCTTGGAAAGACTTCGACAAAAAGCTCCTTATAAAAACCTATGTTTTCTTGGGAGAAAACATCTAAATAAATCATTCAGAAATGTTTAAAATTGTACTGACAATGTAAACACCAGGCAAAAAAGTTATTTTTTGCGTTGTTTGGTGACTGACCGAATACCTAATTGTAACCATGACTCTTATGAGAAGTGAAATCGATAATTAATTATTATTTAAATTTACGTATGTAATTATTACGTTGGTATGTAATAATTAATTTAATTATCCAATTGGTTGCATGAAATATATAATTTCTGGCGAATAATGTTTAGAAAATATCGTTACAATAATATTTTTATTCCCTACTCTTTATCAAAATAAGTAAGTACTTTATAATAAAAATCCAATTAATATTAAATACAAATGATGGTATTCAAGACAAAAAATGTTTATAATACAAATATTCAAATATCTTATAAACTTTCACATTCTATTATAATATAATAAATTCGAAAATTTGTAACGTTGGATGGATGTTTGTTACTCTTTCACGCAAAAACTATTGAACGAATTTGAATTTGACGAATTAAATTTGGTACACGGATTGATTATATCCTAATTTAACACATACACTTTATGGACTACATCACGGGAAACAGATAGTTTATATTATTAATGGAATTAATCTCAAACATGAGTGATGCAGAATAGGCATGTAAGCATAGATCTTGGCCACAGGGTCTTCTTTTTATCCCGTAGAAAACCTATTTTAAAGATATATCGATATTTCATAATTATAATGTATTCTGTGACATCAATATCATCATGCACAATGTCGCGACTGTTGATTTTTGGTTCAGATTTCCCCATTAATAAGGAAGGCCAAAGAAAAGCCTAAGCCTGTGTCGTGACAACGGTATCCACGCTGAAAAAATGTATAGCAAAATGTTGGTAATTAAAAGGCAGACCAACAGATATCTTAATAATCAATACTTATAATAAATCTGTAGAGAAGTTAATACTGTACGATGTGACGGTTCGCCTATAGTACAATAGGTTTAATACCATAAGTACATAGAAAAGA